ATTTGGACAACTGGCAGAGCAAGAAGATGGCAGACTAATAACCAAAAGTAACCATATTATCAGGGTCTGGATGCCAGTTACTTCTGAAGAGTAGTTTGCGCAAAGTCAGGGAGATAATGAAGGACAGGGAAGCCTGGTGTGTTGCTGTCCATGGGGTGGCAAAGAATTGGACATGAATTAGTGATGAACAACAGTAACAAATGGGGAGGAGGTAAGGAAGTAAAGTAAAAAGATTAATCTTCCAAATATCTCCTGGAATAGCCAGCCTCAGGGAGGGCATACATTAATTTCTTATTTTTGGCTCAGGTGGACAGGGTCAGAATGCTTCCCTGCACAAAGGCACTTTGATTTAACACTCAGGCAGGGGGAGCAGGTTTCCCCGAGGCAGCCCATTGTGTGTTATTTGTGCTGGCTGGTTTCTCAGGCATGTCCAGCTCTTCGCAATCCCATGGACTGAAGGCCACCAGGCTCCCCTGTCTAAGGTATTCTCCAGGCATGGATACTGGAGTGGGTTGCCATTCCCTTTCCCAGGGGCTCTTCCCAACTCAGGGATTGAACCTGGGTCTCCTGCATGTCCTGCATTTGCAGGTGGCTTCTTTACAGTCTGAGCCACCAAGGAAGCCCATTATGTATAGACAGTGTCTTTTTAGTGAACAAAAGCCATAGGTAGCAAAGGTTAATGTAAAATAAACAAATCCAACAGGTAGTCAGATTTTTTTCTTCCCTGTAACATGTTAAGTTTTGAAAAAGATGATTCCATAACGAGAAAAAAAAAGTGTATTTTTAAAGTTTGCCAGCTTAGTATTCAAAGAGAAATTATTGAAAAAAAAAAGTTTTAGATACCATCATAAATGATAGAGGAAATACAAAGAAGAAGATGAGATTCCTGAGAAACATTACAAACATCTCAGCAGAGCATGCTGACATTGATTCAACAGAAGGCGCCTCTGACTGCTTGTGATTTTCACCCTTCCACACTTTTCAAGATTAAGGTAGAGGAATTTTTATTTGAAAAGGTGTATCTAATTCCGTGGGACCAAGATTAACCCAGGGGGAAAAAAAAGTTATGAAAAAATGGTAGTGTTAATACTTTGCAAAAGCTTGTTTTTGTTGAGTCGCTAAGTCATGTCTGACTCTTTGAGACTCCACAAACTGCAGCACGCTGAGCTTCACTGTCCTTCACCATCTCCTGGAGCTTGTTCAAACTCATGTCCATTGAGTCAGTGATGCCATCCAACCATCTCACCCTCTGTTGCCCCCTTGTCCTCTTAACCCTCAATCTTTTCCACTACTGGGGTCTTTTCAAATGAGTCGGTGCTTTGGATCAGGTGGACTAAGTATTGGAGTTTCAGCTTCAGCATTAGTCCTTCCAGTGAACAGTCAGGACTGATCTCCTTTAGGATTGGCTGGTTGGCTCTCCTTGCAGTCCGAGGGACTCTCAAGAGTCTTCTCCAGCACCACAGTTCAAAAGCATCAATTCTTCGACCCTCAACCTTCTTTATGGTCTGACTGTCATGTCCATACATGACTACTGGAAAAAATATAGCTTTGACTATATGGACCTTTTCTGACCAAGTGATGTCTCTGCTTTTTAATATGCTGTTATGTTTGTCAGAGATTTTCTTCCAAGGAGCATGCATCTTTTAATTGTGTGGCTGCAGTCACCATCCACAGTGATTTTGGAGCCCAAGAAAATTAAATCTGTCACTTCTTCCACTTTTTCCCCATCTACTTGCCATGAAGTGATGGGCCTGGATGTATTTTGAATGTTGAATTTTAAACCAGCTTTTTCACTCTCCTTTTTCACCCTCATTAAAAAGCTCTTTACTTCCTCTTCACCTTCTGCCATCATAATAGCTTCTTCTGCATATCTGAGGTTGTTCATATTTCTCCTCACAACCTTGATCCCAGCTTGTGATTCATCCAGCTTGGCATTTCTCATGATGTACTCTGCATATAAGTTTAATAAGTAGAGTGACAGTATACAGCCTTGACCTACTCCTTTCCCAATTTTGAACAAGTCCATTGTTCCATGTCCATTTCTAAATGTTGCTTCTTATCCTGCATACAGGTTTGTCAGGAGGCAGGTAAGTATTTGCAAAAGCTAAATATATGAAAACCTGATTGGTGCTTAGCAGGAAATAGATAGCAATTAGGATCTTATAGGAGAGGTGAAGTGGTCAGGTATGATCATACAGGGTATGATGCCCCAAAAAATTGAACGGTTTGGGGATATTAGAAGCACTCGTAGGACTTTCCTCACCATTTCCAGGCCAAAATATATACACGCACTTCCCATATTGTATCCCTATGCATTTTAAATTCAGTTCCCAATAGCTACATTCTTTTTCCCTCAAAATCAGGAAAGAGAAAATCCTAAGTATTGCAGTTATAGAATTCTGGTTTTATTGTCAGACTTTATTGAATTCTGGCTTCATGACTTATTTTGTGAACTTGGACAAATTTTATTATTATTTTCTTTTGCTTTTCATTTATTTATCTTAATATGATATTGCAATAGTTACAGCATTAAATTCATGGTATATTTGTATGAAAATAGATATTACACATTATTACATAACAAATATACTAAGCAGAATTATTATTAAATACATTCCTGGAAAGTTTTGCTTCCATTAACAGTTTGCAATAATCAAATCTCTAAAGAAAATCTCATTCTCTTTCTCTATCTCTCTCTCTCTGTTACTCCTGCTCATACATACCTATACATGGGTAACATATATGGAGTCAATATTAATTAATAAAGAATAAAAGAAAATAAAATCTAAGATGCAACCTCTATCTTCCATTTCCAGATAGATGGATTTGTATACCATCCTCAGTATGAAGTATCCCCAGTAAAGATGCACAAATATGGGTTAATCCCGTAGCATTTGGGCTTAACTACTCTGTGGCTGTTGGGATCTTCCTGGATCAGGGATCAACCCATGTTTCCCATAGCATTTGAGCTTAACTGCTCCATGGCTGTTGGGATCTTCCTGGATCAGGGATCAACCCATGTTTCCTGCACTGGCATTCTTCACAATGAGCTACCAGGAAGTCCTCTTTGTCCAACGTGAGTCTTAATTTTCCTCAGGGGAAAGCAGAAGCACATGTAAACTCGTTTCCATTCATTCACACATACATCATGGGCAACATTTCAAAGCTATTTGCATGTAAACAAATTGGGGATTTTGATTAAATTATAATAATATCATGGTATCTGTAATGCAAAACTTAACCTCCCTAAAGAATTTAAGCTCTTACTTAATGTTTCTATTTGGGTGAGCTAAAAGTAATTTCTTTTGTCTCTAAGACCATTTCACCATTTATTGGAAAACTCTTGGTATTCCAAATTAGTTGCTGATTACTAATCAATTTTTAAATGTAATTTTAAAGCTTTTATGGCATCCCAACAGCCACGGAGCAGTTAAGCCCAAATGCTACAATTATTGAGCCCATGTGCTGAAACCGCGGAGGTCCACACACTGTAGAATCTGTGCTAGGCTACAAGAGAAGCCGCTACAATGAAAAGCCCATGGACCGCAACTAGAGATCACCCTTCGCAAGCAGAAATTCCCTCCACTGTCCACAGCTAGAGCAAAGCCTCACAGCAATGAAGATCCAGCACATTCAACAATAAATATATAAATATAATAAAAACTAATACTGGAAAAAGAGAAATATTTGTTCTCTATACATCATTCTCATTTTATATCTACATCTATATAAATAAATTACGCATTTTGTGACGATTTAAATGTGTGAGTGACATTTCAGTGGCTATATGTTTCTGTGTCAAGATATCAGATTATTTGTTTGTTTATTTGTTTGCTTATATCAGAAGACATAGAAACATTACAGATGTCCAAGTTGTAAACCTGTTGCCTCATCATTGTACTAGATGAAATGAGCTATAAGAGAGAAGCCAAACTATGTTTACACTATTAAGTCAGGATGTGTCATTGCTAACAAAAAATAGACCACCCAAATACTCCTTCTTTCAAGTAAAAAGAAATTAATATTTAATATTATACTTAGGTCAAAAATGTGCACAATAATCTACATGAATATTAATTTAATTTGTGAGGAGAAATCTATAGCTTTGTACTTGTAAAATGACACATTCACTAATTCTACCTACTTCTCAGTTAGAATGACGGAACTTTGGCAGGGGTACATGACATGTGCCCAGTCTGGATCCTGTTGACCTTGGAGTTGAAGCATAGCAGCTATTAGAATCAGTAGAAGAGAGACACACTGTTGTGTCTCTTAAATACAAAAATACTGGAAAAGAATTATATATCATAGTCTTTTTATTTTCAAAACAAAGGTCTCTGAACAGATCCACCTTTCACACTGAAAAAGGCATTAAATATCAGGCTTAAGTTTCTCAACTACCCAGTGATGTTATTATAATTTGAACAAAATTCCCAGTTTGTTTATGTGCAAAGAGCTTTGAAATGTTGCCCATAATGCACGTGCGAGTGAGCAGAAATGAATTCACATGTGCTTCTCCTTTCCCCTCAGGAAAATAAAAACCATTAGCAAGACCACCATCTTTATGAACTTACATTAGAGAACTGAATGGAATATGTTGTCATTTCTTCTACCTCAGATTATAATCTAAATAAATAAATCGATAAGTATTTTCTAAATTCATCACTACATTTTTTAATAAGAAAAACAAAATCTTTTTATTCTAACAAAGGATATAAACAATGTCAACACATATACCTGTGAAATTGGGCTGAAATAATCTTCTCTAATTAATGTAGATAATTAATGTAGAAATTAATCTCTATTAATTTTAGCTAAGCTTGACTACTTGTATCAATAAGAGAGAAAATTCACTTTTTCCCTCTGAATTTTAATTTTGTCTTGCTTTTCGTAAGGGGTAAGGTTCTTACTTTTTGCGAATTCTCTAAAGCTGTGTACTAAGCAATAATCTTTTGACAAACAAATATGGATGAAATGCAGAGAACAAAAGTAACACAACCCTACTTTATTAAAAATGTTTTGCTGATCACTTTGTTCATGGCCTCTTTCACATCCTTGTTCCTCAGACTGTAGATCATGGGGTTCAACATGGGGATCACCGTGGTGTAAAACACAGCCACTACCTTTCCCTGCTCCAGACTCCTCTGTGGGACTTCTGAGATACATGAAAATGAGGGTTCCGTACAATATGACGACGGCAGTCAGATGGGACCCACAGGTGGAAAAGGCCTTGCGCCTCCCTTCCGCCGACTTCATCCGGAGAATGGCATTGAGGATGAACAGGTAAGATACAATAACTATAGTCAGAGAATATGTGAAATTAATGCTGGCGAGTATGAGCACTGTATATTCTTTTACAAAGGTCCCAGCACAGGCCATTTTGATGAGGGGTGGGTCTGCACAGTAGAAGTGGTTGATCTCAATCTTCCCACAGAAGTGCAAGCCATAGGTCCATAATGTTGCTGCCAGACTAGGCGGAAAGCCATACAAGTAAGGGCAAGAAACCAGTCGGGTACAGACAACCCTTGACATTTTGCTGCCATAGAGCAAAGGGCTCCCAATGGCCATGTATCTGTCAAAGGCCATTGCAGCAAGAATAAATATCTCTACATGGACAAGAGCAATAAAGAAGAAACACTGTACCGAACAGCCAGCGTAAGAAATCGTTTTTGTCTCGGATAACAGGTTTTCCAGCATTTTAGGAGTGACATTGGAGGAAAACCACACATCAACAAATGACAAGTGACTCAGAAAAAAGTACATGGGGCTGCTGAGTTGTGGACTGACCTTAATTAACAGGATCATGCCGATATTACCCACCACGGTGATCATGTAGACCAGCAGGAAAGTGACAAAGAAAAGAATTTGCCATTCCCGACGAAACTTGCCATTCCCGACGACTGGTTAGTCCCAAAAGAATAAACTCTGTCACATCCGTGAAGTTGAGCATTTTCTCTGCTCTAAGTCAATATTCGATACAAACTTCTCTGATAACTAAGAGGAAATAAATTTAAAATCAAATGATTATTATCAATGCATATTTTATTCATGCTCCCTTTTATTTTTTTTAACTAAATATCTATGACCTCATTTTGACACTCTTTTTCAGCAATTTGTTTCTGAGCACCCACTGTTTAATAAGCTCCCTAAAGGTATCTATACTGACAAATACAATACATTGACCTATTTACATAAGAGTTGTATAAAAATGTGATTGAAACATGCTATCCCTAAAAATTATAATTGCCCAAATGTGTGTGTGTGTATGTGTGTGTATTCAGTTGTGTCTGACTCTTTATGACTCTAGGGACTATAGCCCTCCAGACTCTTTTATCCATGGGATTTTCCAACCCAAAATACTGGAGTAGCTTGCCATTTCCTCCTCAAGGGGAGCTTCACAACCCGGGGCTGAATTGGAGTCTCCTGCATTAGCAGGTGGATTCTTTACCACTTAGCCACCAGGGAAGCTCAAGACTATTTCTTAAATATCCCTTGCTTCCAACTGGCATTTTGGTAATTATTCATTTTAAGATATTTATAGAGGGTTAGCTTTTTCTTTTTAATGTAACTCAAAAATAATACTTTTCCTCCTTTTTAATATAAGCATTTTCTCTAGGATCATGGGCTTCCCTGGTGGCTCAGAGGGTAAAGTGTCTGCCTGCAATGCAGGAGACCTGGGTTCAATCCCTGGGTCAGGAAGAACCCCTGGAGAAGGAAATGGCAACCTGCTCCAGTACTCTTGCCTGGAAAATTCCATGGATGAAGGAGCCTGGTGGGCTACAGTCCATGGGGTCACAAATAGTTGGACACGACTGAGAAGCTTCACTTTCACTTCCAGGATTATTAGGGCAAAACCATTTAATCCAATAAAGTGTCAGCCCTGAATATCAGATAAAATTTATTTTTAATCTAACCTCATACTTGGCCTCATTTAAAGAGGGACAAACTGTTCACAGTAATCCTTGAAATAAAGGGTTAAATCACTTACACACTTTCATATGTTGTGTGTATTCCCTGGATAAGGACTCTGATAAACCTAGCATGTAATTATAATCTTCTAGATACCCTCCACTCTTATGTTCTGCAGATTCAAAGATAAGCCCAGGAGATCAGTGTCACTAGTGAGAGTGGTAGTAATGTAATTAAACCTTGTAAAATCATGATGTAATCCTACTGTTTTATACTCAGGGGAGAAAGCAGGGAATGACCGAATCTTCTTTGGAGATCCAGTGGAGTCTAGGAAAGCTTCTTGGATAGTTACAAATTTATTTTCAAATAGAGATTGTATCATATGAACCTTTCCAGTACAGTACTTCACAAAATATTTTCCTGAGAAAATACTAGTGCCTTGCATTCTGTTAATAAGTATTATGGAGGAAAATCCATAAATGTTTATTCATCAAATAATGAGAAATCTTTGTGTCTTATCCAAATTCTTATAATTATGCAACTTACCTCATAAGTTATGCAAAACTGTTTGGGAAAGAATTCTAATACACTTAGTCTAGCTAGCATTTACTTATCTTTAAATAAGAGAAAGGAGAGAGTGATAGAGATGACTTTAAGTATATGAAAGGATGTGCATAGATTTTATGCAATCATTACACCATTGTATAAAAGAGACTTGAGCTTTTGCAGATTTGGGGATCGTGGGGGGATGGGGTAGAGGGTGGTGTTCTAGAAGTGATCCTTCTGAGATACAAAGGAGAGCTGTATTTGTCCTGAATGTGCCACAGTATCATTTTGAGCTGCTTGTGAACCTGCTCAATCTAAGGGAACCAGAACAAGAAAATGGAACACAGAACTACTTGTAAACCACCCAAACAATGCAACTTAAAAAAAGTTTTTAAAATAGTATGCTAGCTTTTGAAAAGGATGAATATCCTAAACAAACAAACAAACAAAAACAAATGGATTTTTAAAGATTGGGAAATTAATGAAAGATATATTTTAGACATCATCATAAACGATAGAGAAAACATAAAGATGAAGGAGAGATTCTGAACATGGAAACAGATTACAAATATGTCAATAGAACATATTGAGTCAACAGAATGTGCCAGTATTGTCTGTATATTTTTAAAATATTAGCAGAAGAGGAATTTTTATCTGGAAATTCAGATCTCACTGCATCTAACTGTACCAAGGACGATCCAGAGAGATGGTATAAAAGACCAGTGTTGTTAGTACTTCACAAAGGCAAAATACATGAAAACCTGTGTGGTGGTTTAACAGGTAATTGAGAGCTCTGATGAACTCACAGGGCAAATGGAAGAGTCAGGTCTGATCTTAGGAATTATGGAGACTGGAGAAAAGAGAAAGATTTGGAGACAGACGGTTTTACTCACCATCTTCTTCAGGCAAAAATATACACACAAGCTCCCCATATTGTATCACTCTGTCTTTCAGATCAAGTTACCAGTAACTGTAGATTATTTCCCCCCCAGGGCCAGAAAAGAGGAAACAGTAAGTATTCCAGTTAGAGAATTCTGTTTCTATTGTAAAGTGTTTGAATTCTGGCTCCATGACTTATTTATGAACTTAAGGCAGGCTTTCTTCTTAGTTTGTTTGGTTTTTCATTTCTCTATGTCTTAATATTATGTGACAACTATTAACTAACAGTATTAGCTTCATTGTTTGGGAGTATGAAAAGACACATTTGACTTTCTTGCAACCCCATGGACGGTAGCCCACCAGATTCTTCTAAACATGCGACTCTCCAGGCAAGAATACTGGAGTGAGTTGCCATTTCCTCCTCCAATAATAAATAAGAAGAGCAATTATTAATGAATGCACTTGTGGAAACTGTAGCTTCATTAATAGCTTTTAATAATCAAATATTTGAATCTCAATATAAAAATTTCTGTCTCTCTCTGACAAATATATACCTCCATACATGGATAATATAAATGGAATAATTGATATTAATTAATGAAGAATACAAGAAAATGAAATATATGATTAAAGCTTCATCTTCCAGCTCCAGATAGATGTGTTTGTATACCAACCTCTAAATAGAGCAAAGTATTCCCAGGAAGGATGCAGAATGGGAAAGTGAATGTTGTGTAAGAGATGAGATGATGCCAGGCAGAAAGACACTGGAAATCCACAAGAAAAGTTTCCCTTAAATGAATGCCTTATTTAAAAAAAAAGCAATTAAGAATCTTCTTCTAGAAATAACCCTGGGGAAAGTATATCTCTAGAGGAAAAGTTGATCGCTGAGTTTTTGTTTTGTAACAGATTTGTAAAATTTATTTTTCCTCAAAATTCAAGTTATTTTGAAAGTATTCTGGGATCTAATAACGTATTTTGCTTTGCATATCAAGCCAGGAAAAGTATTTCCAGAACCTGCGGGCCTTTCACGACCTTTACTCCTATATTCTAGCAACCATCTCTCTCACCTAAATCACAGACTCTGAATTGCACTCCATTCTAAACTGAAAACCAAAGTGGGTCTTTAAAAGCAAGTCATTTCAAATTGTTTCTTAACTTGGAAACTTCAGAGCTTCTCATTTTTCTCAGGGTAAAAGTCTTCCAGTGGCTCACAGGATCTTGGCCTCCAGTCCCTTATCTGCCTATGCTCTCATATTCCATTAATTTTCTCACTGCCCTAGGCTGCAGCCACACTGGCTTCCATTTGTTCTTAAAACTTTCCTTGAATGCTTGCATCTGCCTTTTCCTTAGTTACTCCATCTGTCTAAAACGCTGCTCCGTAAGTACCTCCATGGGTCATCTCTAAACCACTTTCATGAGATTTTTGTTCAATTATCATCTTCTCAATGAAATCAACCTTCATTCTCATATCTGAGCCAGAGGTACCCCTTTGCTCCTTTATCTTATAAGATGATTTTTTTCCAGATTTTTCCATAACATCACTAATATACTCTATAGTTTATTTACATATTTTCCTGATGGCTTATGCTTGTTTCACACAACTGGAATATAAGTCTCATGAGATCAAGGATTTCTTTTGCTGTTTTGTTCATTGATAGCAAATAACTAAAACAGATCCTCAAACATAACAGACACTCAGCTAATATTCTTTGGACAAATAAGTGAATTAATTAATTCAACTGCAGCTTAAAATGCTGAGAAGTAGGCCAAAATAATTATAAACAAGTTTATTTATATTATTATTGGCATTTTAATATGATTAAGGATAGAGAGATTATTAATTTGCTAATGGGATATCTTATGAGAATTAGTGTTGGTATCTTGTTTCAGACTGCATGCAAAAACTAAATTGCAAACTATATAAATTAATTATAAATATTTTAAATATGTGTGTAATGCAATAACTTTTGTGTGAATGATTTAACAGTTTTTCATAGTAGTTAAAATTGCACTACTTGCATAATAACCTCTGAAATTGTCTGGCTTTCAAATTGATTAAATTTTATAATCTAGGGCAAGAATACAGCTAAATAGAGAAATTAGTTCTGCTGTTGGTAAGTTAGGCAGTTTAGAGTTAAACATATAAATAGGAGAAAAATAGCACATAATATTACATGTTATTAATGTTGAATATTTTATGTGAAAACTAGTTTGACCCTGAGGTAAATTCCTAAACAAAACTCGTAGAAAGTATTGATCAAGTTGAAAACTCTGAAACACACACATGCACATACATGTACAAA